CCCCCCCCCCCCCCGTGGGGGGGTGGGAATGGGTGCAAGGCCCTGCCTGCTCCACTTTTTCTACCTGGGGACTGTGCCAGATAAAGTCACTTCTGTGTGCTCCGTTTTTCACCACGAGTTTTCCCGACTGCCTTCTTTCGGTCTCCGCCACGCCTTCCCTGGCTGGAATCGCCAGGGTTCCTTCCTCAGCAAGGGAGTCTAAGAAATGTGAACCCAGAGTCACCTTCAAAGCCTGGACCTGCCAGGTGCCATGGCTCACACCTGTCATTCCAGCACTTTGAGAGGCTGAGGTGAGAGGATCACCTCAGCCCACGGGGTCAAGACCAGCCTGAGAAACTTGGCGAGACCTCATCTCTACAATAAACCAAAAAATCACCCAGGGGTGGTGGTACGTGCCTGTAGTTCCAGCTACTTGGAAGTCTGAGGCAGAAGGATCACCTGAGCCCAGCAGGTCAAGGCTGCAATGGCCATGAGCGTGCCACTGCGCTCCACCCTGGGTGACAGAGTGAGACTCTGACAAAAAAGGAAAAAGCAATAATCGTGACAGGGGAACAGAGTCATAATTAAGATATAGGCTGGCAAGTCAAAGGGAAACAGACAGAGTACAAGAAAATTTGGTTTTCTGGCCAGGTGCAGTGGCTCAGGTCTGTAATCCCAGCACTTTGGGAGGCTGAGGCGAGAAGACTGCCTGAGCCCAGGGGTTCAAGACCAGCCCGGGCAACTTGATGAGGCCTCATCCCTACAATAAATCAAACAAATAGCCAGGTGTGGTGGCACACACCTATAGTTCCAGCTACCTGGAAGCTACCTGGAAGGATCGCCAGTGCCCAGCAGGTCAACGCTGCAGTAGCCATGAGCATGCCACAGCACTTCAGCCTGGGCAAAAGAGTGAGACCCTGACTCCAAACAAAAGAGCCTGGACCTAGTCAACTAACTCTAACTTCACATCAGCCCCTGAAGTCAGAGGGGAACAAACAGTTCACACCATCAGCTACTGCTAAGTTTAGGAACCCCAGAAACAACTGGTTTGCAAGAACAGCTTTTATAGGACAAATAGCAAATATACAGCTCTGCTTCCCCAGTTCCTTAGCCTCAGTGCAGGAAGGTCATATTCCAGCAGTCAAAACAGAGTCAAGGGATGTATGGCAAGTCTCTGGTTCCAGAACAGATTCCACTCCTATCACATGATCCCCCATGCTTCCTCGAAGGCTGTGGTAAGTTTTGCACAGGTAAGAGCAGCAGAGAGGGGGTAGTTGCTGATGGACACCATCTTCTCTGTGTACTCCACACTGACCTGTGGAGAGATCAGCTTTGTCAGTGGACTCTCACTACACGGCAGACTCAGCCCTTCTTTTTTTTTTGAGTTGGAGTCTCCCGGCCACTGCAGCCTTGACCTGCTGGGCTCTGACGATCCTTCCGCCTCCGCCTTCCAAGTAGCTGGAATTACAGGTGCACGCTACCACGCCCGGCTAATTTTTTATTTATTGCAGAGATGAGGTCTCACCAAGTTGCCCAGGCGGGTCTCGAACCCATGGGCTCAGGCAATCCACTCACCTCAGCTTCCTAAGGTGCTGAGGTGCAGGATTACAGGCTGAGCCACCAAGCTCAGCTTCAGCCCTTCTTTAGAGCAGGAAAACTATGGCTGAGCTCGTTTCAGCAGTGCTGTTTATTATCAAATTCCTGCAAAGAATGAAGAAAGTCCCAGCCACGCTATGACACGTATGGCAGGAGTCTTCAGAGCATGTGTCCCGGGCAGGTGTGGGGCTGTCATTTGTCTTCTGCCTCTGTCACCACCATGCTTCCTGCTTGTAAGGACAGGGACTGTTAAAATGCCCACTGCCCTGGGAATTCTGTAATGCACTTCCTTACCTTGCCGTGGGCAAAGGCCCCCACCACAAAAACAATAGGGTCACTGCTGGGCGCCAACTCGCGCACGTCACTGATGGTGGGAATGGAAAAAGAAGTGCCGATTTTCATACATCCAACAGGGAAGTGGTCTGACACTGGATTCTTAATTACCTACAGAAAAAAAAAGTCAGCTCCAGAAACATTCCCAGAACCCTACCTGCAGCCAGCAGACTTCACGCCTCACCTTCAAGAGCTTCTGTGGGCCATCAGCTGCTCGAACACTGAGTTTGTGTAAAAGCTGAACTGGGGGGGGGCAGAGAGGGAGTTCAGAGCCACGCAGAGACCAGTCCTTCCACCCAGTCACCTCTCCAGGAAAGCCCACAGATAAGATGGGTTCCAAGTGCCCTTCTTACCCTGACTGGGCCCCTGAAATGTTATGAACAGCTCTCAAGCACACCACTAGTGCAGTGATGGGCTCAGACTCCTTTCCACCCAGCAGGGAGCCTACTGCAAGGCCGGGCACACGGAAGGAGAATGGAGAAGAACCTTTGCCCTGCTGTCAGTCAAGGGCCCTCCCCAGCCCCAACTGCCGAGTTCGTTGTGAATGTCAAGCCCCGAGGCTTCTCACCCATCAGGCCACAAAAGCGGTCAAAGGTCCTGGGGATTCGAGTCTGGGGGTTCACTTCGATCAGAACATTCTTCTGCGTATGGATGTACACCTGCAGCAGACCAGCCCGGTTCAGGGGACTGTCCATCAGCATCAGCAGGCTCTGGGGGGGGCAAAGCCAGCACAGTCAGGCTGAGCAACACTGGCGCCCTGTGCTTTCCTTGCCCAGGCTCAAAGGCTGCGGGCTCTGTCCCTAGGGTTACCTGGTGGGCTATGTCTGGCCTCACTTCCCCAGGGTCTCGTCCATTCTTCAACAGCAAAGACTTGTGCTTGTCACAGTTGAGTAGCTCATATGTCTTCCCCACCTGGAGAACAGGGCACGTGAGGCGAGAGCAGCATGTGACGTCTGCCCCGCCCCACGGTCGCCAAGCATGATCCCCGAGCAAGTGTGGTCCCCTGGCCAGCGGCAGCAGCATCTTAACTTGGTGGGCAGATTCTCAGGCCCATCGAGACCTACTGAACCAGAAAGTCGGGGGGTCCAGCAAGCCCTTCAGGGGATTGCTGTGTGCCCCTATTTGCACCCCGAGGCTTAGGGAGGAAAGCCAGGAAAGGCACAACCTGATTTTCCACATCTGCGCTGGGTTTTATTTAAAGACCTGTGGCTGTTAGGCAAAGCCAGCGAGACACCCTAGAACCAGGCAGGAGGCCGAATGCGGTGCTCATCATGGGAGCAGTACGTAACATGCTGGGCAAGATACAGGCAGTCCCTGTCCTCAGTTTGCGTGAAGCAGGCGCTAAGTGAAGAGCTGCACGCCCGGACGGGAAACTGAGGATTCCAGTGATGCGGGAGATGGTTTAATCGAGGAACGCTCCACTCAGAGCAGAGCCAAGGGCCCACTCCCAGCCTTAAGACTGGCATGGGGAGACACACAGATAAAATCCAGCAGCAGCAGAAACCCAAAGGAAGGAAATTTGGGGGGGAAAGTTGACTTAGACACCAAAGGGCAATGATCAGGTATAAAACTCTTTTGCCAACTGGGGAATCCTAACATATAAATGCAAAGCCAGAAATAATTCTGGAGCAGGCAGAGCAGGATGGGAATGACAGAAATACTTCTCTGGCAACTCTGCACTAGAAAAGTCACCAGCTATAAGTGTGATAAAGAGCTGGATCACATCTGCAACTATAAGAAATAACTGCAAGTTACAGTTTGGAACATTAGAGTGGTCAGTAAAAAAATCTAAAAGCATGCTGGCCAAATACGAGTTTTGAAAGGCTATCTCTGGCATGGTGGCTCATGCCTGTAATCCCAGCACTTTGGGAGGCCAAGGTGGGAGGATTACTTGAGCCCAGGAATTCGAGACCAGCCTGGGAAACAAAGCGAGACCCACATCGCTACAAGAAAATAGAAAAACTGGCAGAACGGACATGGTAGCAAGCGCCTGTAGTCCCAGCCACGCAGGAGGCTGAGGTGGAAGGATCGCCTGAGGCCAGGGGACTGCGGTGAACTGTGACTGTGCCACTGCACTCCAGCCTGGGTGAGAGTGAGACCCCTAACTCAAAAAATAAAAAAAGAAAGACTGGGCACAGTGGCTAAGCCTATAATTCTAGCACTTTAGGAGGCCGAGGCAAGTGGATTGCCTAAGCCCGTGGATTCAAGACCATCCTGGGAAACCTGGCAAGACCTCGTCTCTACAATAAATAAATTAAAAATTAGCTGGGCGTGGTAGTGTGCGCCTGTAGTTCTGGCTACTTGGAAGGCTGAGGTGGAAGGATCGCCAAAGCCCAGCAGGTTGACACCGGGGTGGCTGTGAGCATCCCACAGCACTCCAGCCTGGGCCACAGAGTGAGACTCCAACTCAAAAAAAAGATCTCCGGAGCCCAGCAGGTCAACGCTGCGGTGGCCAGGAGCAGCCACTACACTCGTCTGGGTGACAGAGTGAGACTCCAACTCAAAAAAAAAAAAAAGAAAAGAAAAGAGGCTAAATTCTGTGTCACTAGAACACTGTATATGCCTAGCAACATCTTGAGATCAGTGATTCCAAAAAGTTTGGGGGGAGAGGATGTAGATTTGAAATTAATCGAATAACTGGAATAACAAGAACGTCACAAAGAGTAAGCACAAATTTTCAAAGACCAAGAGCCAGGTCCAGGGAACACCCTTAGTTATAGAAGAAAAAGAACCTCGAATAATTCAGTTTCGCCCCACTAGTAGGATGCAAGCAGGGCTTTT